TTTTATATTTATTATATAAATTAGTAGAAATTTGAGAAATGTTGGGGGCTAAAGAGTGAGAGTCCCTTGTTTGGGGAGTAGATTGTGAAAAAGAAAAAAAACCGGTGCGTTGTTTTGAATTGCGAAAAACTCGCCGTGTTTATTAATATTAGCAAAAATTCCCCAAGATGCAATTTTTTATAACACAACCCTCCCAAACGGTGAGTTTTTTCTTTTTTTTGCCAAAAAACAGGACAAATAAAATAGTGGGTTGTTTGTGCTAATAAAAATAACACGGTATGGGGGTGTCGAATGCAATAAATTCGTTTGTTTTACTTTTTGTTTTTATTTTTTCTTACAATTTAATCACAAAAAATCGAGCTACCTTCCAGAATATCAGACAATACAATGTTGATCCTAGTTTTAATTAATTTCGATATTGTATAACTAAATTCATACTCTGAAGTGACAAATCATTCATTTTTTAGAATATTAGCTGTCGTTTTTAGCTTTGCACAAATATTAAAAATGTCAATAAATATATCTTGATTTTAGTTAAAAACAATATTCAAGTTCTCTAAACCCTCATAGATCTAGGAGTAATATTTTCTTTCAATTATCTGAAATGCAGCCAGAGTTTTATTGAAATTGGCTTATTTTGTCACTTAATATATTTTTCAAACGATTATTATATTAAAAAGAAAAAAAAAACTTGTCGTTATCAAATTGCTGTGTACATTTTTGTAAGTATTCAAATAAATAAATAAATAAAATAAATATGTCAGAGTAGAAAGAGATTGATCAAATTCCGAAAAGCTTGACCTAAGAATTGGAAGAAACCAAGACCATGATGGCTGCATCTCACCAAGGTTATTTTAGTCATTTTTATATATTTTCTTTCTAAAATCAAGCCGCAAGTATTGAGTTTCTTAATATTTATGCGAAAATAAGAAACGATGTATATTTAGGAATAAATGGAGTAACGTCTTGACGCATTTTTTTTTACAAGGGATCCGATCCCCCAAGCCATAAATGTGCATCTGATCAATTTTGCTCGGGTGCAATAATTTGTAATTAAATATTTGACAAAGTTTGTGCAACAAACTCAACCTAGAAAATGCTGGTAGAAAAATCGAATTCGTATCGTTAGATGTTGCACTCTTCTGCTCCACCCGATAGGTCATTTTTGTGTGCAACAATTTCATTTTACATATACATAGGCAAATGAGAGTCGTTTTTTTTTTTAAAGGGTGGAAAAACATAAATTTGACGTAATATATTTTTAATATATTATATGTAAATTAAAGTATACATAATATATTGACTTAAATTATAATATTCTTTTTCGAACACCTCCAATTTTTTTTTTTTTTTTTTTTTTTTTTTTTGTATTTACCTATCCACAACATATAATAAATCATGTACAGAGTTTGACTTTGATCAAGTGTCCTTATTATAGTAGACTTAGTCAAGTCAAACCCTAAAAAACATCAAAGAAAACAAGAAAACTTTTCACACATCATTTTCAACAAAGAATCGTATTACTGCCCGCATAGATATATCTTAACTAGTTTCGGGATGCTAAGTTGGTACACGATCAGTATCTTTAACCAGGTCCGAATCCGTTATCTTAACGGGCCATCGAATCACCATAATTTACAATCCTCCAAATATTTATCGGATCAAGGGATGGGGGTCCTGAAGACAAGTGATTTCGCCTTTTGTACAAGAAACCGTATTAGTATATATATATATATATATATATATATATATGAGATGAGAAACGTGTTTCACAAAAATAACACAAATTAAAATATTTATAGAACGATATGACAACGACGACTTCAAATATATACAGAATCGTTGTTTGTTCTTTCATTTCGTCTGCAAAAAGTTAAGAATGAACTTATAATTAAGTCGGCCGAATTCGAAGACCATTTAATTTCTTGATTTTCACATTTGGATGTCATCTCTAAATACTTATTTTGCAGACAAATTAAAGCAACCAATTTCTCTCTACTCCGAATCCTCTTTTTTCTTCTTCTTCTTCTTCATCATCATCTCGCTTTCTTATATATATATATATATATGATATATCCAGAAAACATCTTTTCAGACTTTTAGTACATTTTCTTTCTTTCTTCCCCTCTTTTCAAACTTTGGAACTGCTGCATGCCGAAAGAGTATCTCAGTTACCTTCACAGGGAAGTCTCCTCTCTCTCTCTCTAGAAATCCCTCTCTCTCTCTCTCTCTCTCTCTCTCTCTCTCTCTAAATATAGATATATTATATATACATTGCTTCGTGTTAGAGAAACATGGAATAAGTAGGTTTAACTTGACTACATATATTCAAACTTAGGTGGGAAATGGTTTAGAGGGTATATATTTGGTTGGATTTGAAGTGTAGCTATAGCTATCATAATTAATTAAGCTCCTTTACGCCTCGTTTGGTTGGGAGATTAGTCATTATTAACTAAATAATTTAACTTTGTTTAATGTTTGGTACATCCAATAATTTGTCGCGTCGACCTGGAAATATTATGCTATATATCATGTTTATCTAGTGCAACTTCCCAAGGTCCAATAATATACCTGTGTTTCATTAGATAATTTAATCTTATATTGGGCAACCAAACGAGCTTAGAAATAGAAATTGTTAACTTATTAAAAAAAATACTAGTTAAGCTCACCACCTGTATATATTTTTTTTAATAAAAAATATTCTTTGCCTTTTCCCACACTTTATTATGAACTAATTAATAATAATCAACCCTAATTAATCCTCAAATGTAAACAGAACGTGCACGCTTGCAAGATACTTTTTTTAATAGTTATTAAAGGCTGGTAGGGTATATGTTATATATATAAAGTGAGCCCTTTAAGTAATTAATTAGGAGGGAATTAATGTTCGAATTAAGTCATATATATGTATTTATATTACTCAAAAGATAGTCATATATCACAGTCTTGTTCACATTGTGAAAAGCCATGATCCTTTGTTTCTAGTTTAAACGAGTCGAGCTCGAATCCATTTTTATAAGCTCGAGCTCTTCGACCATTTTTTCTTTTGGGCTCGAGCTCAAGCCTGAGCCATTTTGTGTGTTTTTATTAATATTATTATAAACTATAATAATAAAAAAATCGAAATAGAAAAAAATGACCTGTGATTTATTTTTTTAATTACGTACTTTGATGAATTTATTATTTATTTTATATTAATTAAATTTCTAAAAATTAAAATAATAATAAATAAAAAAAAAGCTCGCTAGTCGGCTAGTGAGCTCAGGAACAATTAGAAATGAGCTCGATCTCGAGGTCGAAAAATTCGAGTTCAAATGCGATCTTTTGTCGAGCCGGCTCACCGAGCTCACGAGCCGCCTCAGCTCATTTACATCCCTAGTTTCTACGATGAACCTCTTTCGACATATATACTTTTACTGTGTATTGGATTTCAATCCAAAATTTGTTTGAACTCTCTCTCTCTCTCTCTCTCTCTCTCTTTCACACACACACACACACACACACACACACACACCACACACACATTCAACAATTAGTTTGGATATTATCTGTTCATGATAACATTGATATTTTTATTTAAATTTATTTCATGCATACTTAAGTTAGTCTCTGTGAGGTGTATTAGTAGGGCAGCTCATCTCAAGAGAGTGAAACTTTGATTAATTGATAAGCCTCAAATAATGTAGCAATTAGTGAATAATGAACTCCAACTTATCAAAACTAATTAATTTCTAAGTAATATAATTAATGAAATGGGATTGATTAATTATGTGAATGTAGGTTATATAAACACACCTAATTAGTAAATGTGACCTCAATAAAGCTTGATTTATTAATTAATAATCGCGGCCTTAATTAATGGAGATCCTAAAAACCACTTGGTTGTATAGGTGTACCGAATAAACTTACACTCTCGTATATATAATAGCTGGCAAACCATACGAGATACGTAAAATTGAAGAAACCAATGTATATATTAATGTAGTCCATGAATCACAAACAACTCATAGATATGTCATACATAATTATGGATTATGAAATACATAATCATATATGCATAACCCTTAAAAATCGACTCAAACGCGCGATGACGAAGTACGTTTCGAGTCTTTGAAAAAACTTCGATAAAAAAAGAAAAAAAAACCTTACATTAAATCGACAAACTTCAATACAACAAAACCTTAATTAATACATGCATAAATGAAATATATAGTTTTACCAAATCTTGATCATATTCCTCAATAGAAATACCTTCTTGTGTTACCATCAAATTGATCTCCCAAATTCTCCATAGAACCGGATCCCGAAGAAGAACCTCCGTAATTACCCGACTGAAACCTCTGATCATACTCTTGTTGTTGTTGTTGTTGTTGTTCTTGTTGTTGTTGTTGTTGTTGCTGCTGATAAAAAAACGGTAACGAAGAAGACATGATCGTAGTAGCCGTATTATCCGACAAACCTTGAGAACTAACAAAAGACGAACCTCCACCGTAGTTAATATTCCCTTGCGACGAATTTCCATAGCTCAAACTATTATTATAAGTACTATTATATTGGCCACTACCCATAATTATCTCCGTATTTTGACGACGAACAACGTTATCGAGGGTATAATTGTCTTGGCGAGTAGAGTTCGAAGTCGAGGCGTTATAACTAGGCCTACGGTATTCGGAATTAAAAGAGGGCATATTTTGAGGATCTGATTTGGGTTGAACCCTTTCGGGGAAATTGAGCTTGGCCTTGTTGCCTTTGAATCGAAGGGCGGCTTCGTCGTAGGCTAGGGCTGCACCCTCCGCGGAATCGAACGTGCCTAGCCATACACGAGCCGCCTTCTTCGGGTCTCGTATTTCTGCCGCCCATTTGCCCCACGGCCTCTGCCGCACCCCTCTGTAGTGTCTCCTTTTCGGGCTTGTACTTGCTTTTATTTCAAATTTTATGCAACAAGAATTAATCAATTAGAGAGAGAGAGAGAGAGAGAGAGAGAGAGAGAGAGAGAGAGAGAGAGAGAGAGAGAGAGAGAGATGATAATATACCTTGTTGTTGTGGGAGTTGGGGTAGGGTTTGCGGTGGTGCAGTTGGTGGTGGCGGTAGGTATTGAGAATATTCCGATGAGGGGGGGTGGGGAGGGGGCGGGGGGTTATCTCCGGTGTAGCCGAGAACTCGAGAGAGGACGGAGACCATGGCAGACATGTCTTGCTGGGATCTAGCTGATGAGTAACCTGGGAACAAGCTGCTGCCTTCATCATATTCACCATCATCATCATCCATATCTATATCTATATCTATATATATATATATATATATATATATGTATATGTATATATATATTTAGATGTAGAAGAACTTAATTAAGAGGAGGAGGAGTAGTGGAGCTATATATAACAGCTCAAAGTTTCTAGGGTTTTGTTAGGCGCCTTTGAATAACTTTTTTTTTCTTTCTCTCTCTTGATAATATTTTGAAGTGTAGAAAAAAAACACGATTTACGAGTAGAAATCAGAAGGGTCGAATCGAAATTAGCACTTTCTAAACAAAGTGGTTTTTCGGAAGTGGAAACTTTGTACTAAAAAGAACGGACAATATACACGAAAAATCAAATTTTCGAAAATTGGAAGGAAAAAATGTGTTGAAGAATCGGTACGTGTTTGGATCGAAATGGCGAAATTCAGAAATTCCAATGTTTGGTTCACTTTTAATACATGTTAATATTGATATTATAGGGAAAAAGAGGTCGGAATTTTCAGAAATATTTTCGAAAATTAAAATTGGACCGAAAGTTGGAATCTAATATGCATTTGAATTCGGTTAAAATAAGATCTAAAAATCGGAAATCGGAACTTTTGGAATTCGGAATGGAAACCAGTGTTCCTATTTCGGAAGTTTTTTGGATCATAATTGGTATAATTCAATTTTTTTGTTTCAATTTCCACCTATATATATTGATAATGTTATTAATATACGTTTCGCATATTTCACATATCCAAAATTTTAACTAAGAGTGATCGATATTTTGTATAGTATAATATAAAATACAAACAAGAAAATTTGAAAAAACAAAAAAAAAATCTAGTTTATTTACGAGTATGATGAAAAATTAAAGAGAAATTTTGAATGATCACGACTTTTATGGTTCATATATATAGGTTTGTTCGTTGCAACCAAGTCCAATTGACTAAATACTAAGAATTAGTAACATGTTCGATTGACAAACTGAAACTATTTCGGGATGACAAAATATCCAATAAAACTAGTATTTGTTCTATATATAATTAATTTTGTAGGTAGTGATTAAAATATTTATAAAAAAAAAACTAAAATACTACAAATAGAATATTATTATTATTAATTATGGATGTTATTGAAAAAAAAATCATATTTATACCATATTTTAATAGTAAATTTAATACTAAAATTAAAGATTCTCTCAACTTTTATGTATACATCCTCCTATTACTTTAGTGAGCCTTGTATTATACATGTTGGAAATATATGTTGACTTTTTACTCATAAAATTATAGAAATTTTGTATAGTCTACATTCGCTGCGTCAAGTCTTCTACTTGGTGGTCAATTATTTTGGCCTCTTTCAAATTTCAACTCTATGAATCAAGTCAATAATCGTATACATGATGTAAATAAACTAGTGGACAATCGGACGAATTTGATCGAAATTAATTTCTTTTTTCGCAAGTGAAAAACTTAATTCTCAATTCGTTCTAAAAAAGTTAGGAACCGAGAAATCCGGAAATTGAAACGAAAACACTTTTTACAAAATCTCATTTTTTCGAATCATGATCGTACTAATATAAAATAGATGCCATTATTTTTTATTGGTAATGAAGAAATATGCCACCAGCTATATAGGTGCATTGTATAAACCTACAATCACGTATAATAGTTTGCAAAGAGACTAGCGACTGTTGGTAATGTGATTCGAACTTTGATCAACTGACACAAACTTACTTGATCTAATCGCTAGACCACCCCTAACGGGACAAATGAATACTATTATTGATACTACAAGTGTAATCTCATAAAATATTGGAGTTTTCGGGCTTAATTTAAAAAAGAAATTGAATTGAAAATCAGAATTGTCGGAATTTGGAATGAAAAATAATATTGCAATATCGAAAATGTTGAAATCGAAAAATTCGAAAATTGAAATGAAAATGCTTGTTACAAAATTGCAATTTTCCGAATAAGAATGGTAATAATATAAAATAGATACTATTATTAGTTTTCTTTTCGTAATGAAGGAACCAACAACCAACCATATAAGTGTACTAGGTAAATCTACAATTTCGTCTGATAGCTTGCAAAGAGATGTAAACCACACGCTAACCATACGTGACAAGCTCGATCTAACAATCGTTTGTGATTCAAACTTGGGTCAATTAACACAAGTCCATTTATTCCAACCGCTAGACCATTCATTATGGGACAAATATATACTATTATTGATATTCTAGTGTAATCTCAAAAAAAAAAAATTTGAAGTTTTCGGGCTTATTTTCAAAAACCAAATTTGGATCGAAAATTCGGAATTTGGAGTGAAAAATATTATTGCAAAATAGAAAAAATGTTGGAAGAAAAATTTAGAACAAAATCAACCAACATGACATCAGCTACGACGAGCCTCAATAATCAATTTAGAAAGAAAAAAAATAAAATAAAAATTCAAGTTTTCCCCAATTTGTTTGCTCTTAGAACCCTAACTACAATTTTGAATTTCAACAAACAATTTTTGATAATTAAGAGCCGGTCCTTCTACCACGTCTCAAATCAGACACCGTCGTCCACCCACCACTCGCCGCCGTCTGCCGCCCAACCACAATTGAGTCTCTCTCTCTCTCTCCGGTTACCGTATTAGGCTAATTTCCCATCAATTACAGTCACAATTGATCAAAATAGTTGATTATGGCGTGGGTAGCATTAGTCTTATCAGTGATTGCGATCTGGTTTGCTTCTCTTCTCAAAATTCTTCATGGATCTTCTTCCTCCTCGAAAGCAGCATTCCTGGATGATGGTAATTCGTGATTTCTATATCCAAAGTCATAATTACATCTATAATGCTGCGTTTGTGTGGGTAAAACTTTTGTAAATTCCTCATTGGTTTTTCTTTGATGCATGCTAGGTGGGAATTCTCGAAGGCGAAACGTCTTGCTGGCCATCGCGCATCCCGACGACGAGTCTATGTAAGGTTTGAATTTGCAGTAGTGCAATTTGATTACAAGTAAATATTGCAGGCTTACGAATTACTACATTAAACGCATCGATTGTGATAACTTATTCTCATGAATTTAATTTGTGTTTTCTGTTAGTTATGGTGGCTTGATAGTCCTTTGATTTGGTGGAAATTATTATCAATAGTTGATCCCAGTTTCGTATTCTTACCAAAAATCACGTGTCTTGATTAAGATTGCTCGCTGAGCTACAGCGACGCTAGGACAATTAATGCATTCCGTAATTTTTGTTGGAAATATATCTTTGAGGTCAATAGTTACGAAAATGTGGTTTATTTTTTGACAAGCATGTACGGGTGAAATACTCTGTAATTTTTTTTTCCGATAATGCTTAAAACTGTGTTTTACTTTGTGTCTGAAAGTGTACTTCTGAACTCAAAATTGATAGAATAGCATAAAAGTATGTGCTGAACTGAATTGAACTAATATAAACTATCTTTCCAAAATCATCTTCGATTAAGTTGTGTTTTATTCAATCTAGTTTTTCAACAATTTTTCAAGGTTGCAAACCTTCTTTATACGTTTTATTTTGCTTGTGCAGGTTCTTTGCTCCAGTTATCAATTACTTAATTTCAAGGGGTCATAATATGCATGTACTATGCATGTCAACTGGTAATCTTACATTCATTCGTGATGATCATTTCACAGACAAACGATATGTTTAGAACTCAAAACCTTCAGAAAAGTAGATGTAAGAAAGTGCTTTAGAACATCTTTCTTTTAGATTATGTCAAAATTCTTGACACTCATCGTTATTGTAGGCAATGCAGATGGCATGGGAAATATTAGAAAAGAAGAGCTTTACCTGGCTTCTGCCGTTTTGAAGGTCACGCCTTTTCAATTTTAGCTTTATTATCAGTACTCGAAGCATTTTCCATATTCTTTTGTTTTACTGTTGCAGAAAATCAATTTCGATTTGTAATATATGCAGATTCCAACCAAGCAAGTGAAGGTTCTAGACCATCCCGATTTTCAGGTTCTTTCTGAGTTGTCTCACTAGTCATAGGTTGACACGTGTTGGTTGTATACTATATATGTGGAGGTGCTGATATGATGATGTGGATGTTGTGATTAGGATGGTTTTGGCAAAGTATGGGATTCTAACTTATTGGCAAGCATTATTGATAAGGAAACACGTCTCCATTCTATTGATTTGGTAAAGTTTGTTCTTATTGCCAATTATCTCTTTAGCTACTTTATTCAACGGGGCATTTTTTGATAAGGAAACAAGTCTCCATGAATATTGTTTTTTTTTTCTTATTTCTTTTCTAGGTCATTACTTTTGATGATTATGGTATCTCTGGACATTGTAACCACCGCGACGTGCATCGAGGAGTAAGGTAAGTTTGAGTCGAACTCATAAATCTTGTTCTGTATGCCATTGCAAACATATCATTTTTGTTTTAAGTCCCTATGTCAAAAATGGTTCTTAATGTTTACTTAGGAATACAATTAAACCTCTATAAATTAATACAGTCGGGACCGACAAAATTCTATTATTTTGGTGAAATATTAAATTATCAAGCTAATAATTAGTACGTTTTTACTGAGTAGGGACCGTAAGAAATTATTATTTAAGCGAGGTTATTAATTTATTGAGTTTCTACTGTATAGTGATTATGTTATTTTCTTTGTACATTTCTCAGAAAGCTATTGCACGATTCTTCAAGAAAACATCTAGAAGCATGGGAACTTGTAAGTTGCCCCTTTCTCACCGTTTGTTATAAGTTCCATCTCTTGTTAAGGATCTATAAGGATCTAAGACAACATATTAATGGTAATAAACTCGTGATTTTCAGGTAAGCACGAACATAGTGCGCAAGTACATTGGACCAGTCGATATTTGGCTATCTATATTATTCGCCAGACACCAGAAAAGCGGAGAATCACATTGCTTGCTCAACTTAGATCCCCGTAAAAGTTATTCCGCAATGGCTCAGCATTCTAGCCAATGGGTTTGGTCTGTTTCCCCCCCGGCTCTTCTAACATTTACTGATTTTTTTTGACACCTTAAAAGAGTTGTAGTAAAAAGAAGCACAATAACAATTTGATTTAGTTGCTGAGATATAATAAGTAGAATATGACTAATTTTGAGTGGCGGTTTCTACTTATTGCAGGTACCGGAAACTTTTTGTTGCGTTTTCAAGCTGTTCATATGTTAATACGTTGAAGAAAATCGAGTAATATTGGATCGTGTTTCAAAACGATTACTTTTGATGTTGTTGTTGCATAAGAGTTGAACAGTCAAAATTGTAGAGTTTCTTTGATCTGAATTATGTATAACTTTTATTGATAATTAGAGAGAAATTATCAAGGTGGTATCATTCTTTTCATGCCATTTATTTGCAGTCTATTTAGACTTAGTGGTGTATTGTGACATCTGGAGTGGAAAATAATAAACTATACAAAAAATAACGAGAAACCCGATTTTATTAAAAAAATTAAATAAAAAATCCACACGAAATCACTTATTTATTTCGATGAACACTCAATAAGAAACTATAATCGCAAGTCGAAGACTACATATAGAGGATATCTTTTTTCGAACAGTCAAAACTGTCTGCAGCACAATGTATACCAATCGATGTGCTAAAAGATTCGTCTACAATCTTAAAAGTCACACTACACAACTCAAAAATTCATGTGATGTTGTTTTGCGATGCTGTTTTGTAAGAAAGTGCAGACGGGTTAAATTTATCCGACTTGTGCACGCTTGTCTGGGGCTGATGACGACGACGACTCTTCGATTTGGTGGTCGGTTTTAGAATTTTGCAGAGCTGCAGTTTTTTCAGCTTCGGCTTTCTCAAGTAAAGCCTGTGTTTGCATGGCCTTCATCATATCCTTCATCGTCTTTTCTTCTCCTTCGAGCTGCATTTTCATTATGAATTCTGCTTCTTTGTCGACTGGCTTGAAGTACTCTTCTATGGCTGCCTCCTGTGCACATAATAACCTATATAGTTCAACCAATCCGACAATACAAGTAGATAAAGAAAAAAACCGATGCAGAACAAATTCATTGTCTTCCATTCGGATCTGTTTATACTTTTTATTTCCTTCGAAAATTGAACAAACAGCAAAAACATACTGCTCGAGACGGATGATAAACAGCTAATCTTATCTACAGCCACAATCCAGTTCATTAACGAAAAAAAAAAGGTTTCTTTTTTTGGAGGGAATGAAAAAAAGATTAAAAAAAACACGCACCCTTTTCGTTTCATGGGCACTGTACATAAATGTTTCCAAAGCATACTAATATTTGCCAAACAATTTCACCAATTACAAATTCCTGAGTCAATACTTATTTTGACCAAGTCCTACAATCCGAATTCGGAAAAATTCATGTTCAGAGCCAAATTTCCTTATCTCTGAGTTTGAACAACAAGGAGTTGGCGTAAAAGTAAAATGTTCGCTCTTAATTTTATACGCAGTAAACAAGTAAAAATTTCATCGTCAAAATCCTTCCCGTAGTTAAGGTCATTGGCACAAATTAAAAAAGACAGTTTTTTAGCAAAGGGAGTTTTTTTTCGGGAGAAAGGAAAAACAAACTCACAGTATCTTCTAACTTCTTATTCAAGGATTGCATTTCCTCCACCATCCGTCGGACCTCTGATATAATAATTTGTTCCGGAACCTGCTTCAGAGCAGCTTTTTTCTCTTGTGCCTTGTAAACAGACAAGGAAATGACAATGTAAGCATGCATACAGAATTTCCGAGAGTATATAATAATGCATCAATACCACAAACAATGTACAGTAGTCTAACTGGAGCTATGAACGAATGTTTAGCTTTCAAATTACACATTTCTTACTTTCTTCAGTCACACTAAGTCGAACACTTTGTTTCGTGGATGAATTTTTATATGTATACTGCTTCGATTTTGAAACTACGAGCTTGGGACCACCAAGAAGGGCGGGTTTGAGCTCAAAAAGTTGCAACAAATATAAAGCAACACTAAAAGAGGACCACTAAATTTTCGATTCTATTTGTCTGGCGATCGACAATTCTAAAGGAACCTGTGAAAACATCTAGAAGAAACTAAGGATTTCAAAATTAACGAGAACCACGACTCAGGTGCAAGTACACCTATTTTCTTCAAAATTTTCGATGAAATCTGCATGCATAATAAATCTTCCCAAAATCAAAACTAACTGGTTCTCAAGAATCTAGAAAGAGCCGTGTTTTCGAAAACCGGACACGTTCGTATTCAGTATCGTTCAGCCCCATTTACCGAAACACTAAACACAGTTGCTTTTTTTCCCCCCTTCTGCACACATCTTCTTGCTTATCGATTAAACCGAATACATACCGAGGTCAAAAACCCATATATCAGAAGAACCAAAACGAAACCTGTTACCTCAAATTTAGTGTTGGCTGCAACAAATTAAGCATTTTTTTGTTTTTTGGGTCAAATCCTCTGTTCATATCCCGAAATGAAATCAAAGGTTTATTAATTTATTTCATTTAAATTCAATACGAAGGAAATTCACTATCGAAAGAGAAGATTAAACCCAATCTCGTCACATATTAACAATTCATGAACACACAAAAAAATAATTAAAATTAAATTAAACAAATTTGAAGAAACCTGTTGGAGGCGTTGCTGAAGCTGCAATCTGTACGATCGAATCCTCCGCTCTTCGTAACCGGAAAGAACCCTAACATAGAACATCGCCTTTCTGCCGAAATCCAATATTTTATTCATAATTATTATTACTGCTGTTTCTTCGTCGTCTTCTTCCGCTGTTGCTATATCCAAATCAAAATCGATAAAGCTGCTACTGTGAGGAAATCAATTTTGTGTAGGATGTAAAGCAAAATGGGGTTTTTTGTTTGCATCTTTTGGTTTGATTTCTTTATTTATTTATTTTGTGGGGGTTTTTTTTTATTTATTTATTTCATTATTAATTAAGAAGGTTTTGCAGAGCCATTTGCAAAGTGAATTCTTCTTCAAAACAATCCAATTATTCTTTATTATTTATTTTTTAATAGGGTAAAATACATCCACCATGAGGTATGGTCAAATTACGAGAAATACAACCACCTTTTAGCTATAATTATTCTTAAACGTCGACTCATGCGGTGTCAAATTTAGTGGAATCATCTAGATTATGTGGAATATTCCCCAGTTTGTACATGTTTTATCTCATTCGAGCTCCACATTTTGAAACAAGATGATCGTAGGATGTGTCTCTTGACTTGTAAATATTAGATTGCGGTGCATCAAAAAACTGCATTTTTGCACAAAACGAGTACAAACTAGAGAACATTACACGGAATCTAGAAGATTATGTTGAATTTGACACCATAAGGGTGGATGTGTAAGAAAATTCACAGTTGATGGGTAGTTATAATTATCCAAACATGAAGTTTTTTTTCGTAATTTGACCATAAATCAGGGAATGGTTTTAATTTACCATTTTTAATAACTAATGGGTTTTCACATGTGTAGCACGATAAATTCAACTTCTTAATGTTTTTGCGTTTCGGAGGTGTTTTGTATCTGATATTTGAGGACACGTGTAGGACACTTTATGGATCATTTTGTAATTTCTAAAAATTTATAAACATGTTTTAGTAGCAAATTTCCAAATACTTTTGTTGTTTCCCTAGTTAATTACATGATTTAGTTATCAACTTGCAAATTGATAGTTGATAATAATATTTATGTTTATATTTGTGTGGAAATATATATATATATATATATATATATATATATATATATATAAAGAATTATATATTAATAAATTTATATATATTTACATGGCATATTTTTATAAATATATCTCTATATTTTTAATATTTGTACGTTTCCCCAAGCTTTCATATCCTTATTTTTGAGAAATATTGTTTCTTCGTGTCCGTTTCTCTGTAACGTCTTTCCGTGCCCGTGCTATATAGGTATTCCCAAGTTTAATTTCTTTATTTAGTTATTCCTTCCATTCCTTTATAACTGTCGTTTTTAGCGTTGCACAAAAATCAAATATCTCAATAAATGTTGCTTAATTTTAGAAAAAAATGTATGATATACTAAAACACCCTTTGCCAATAATTAGTACGAGAGAATAAGAGTAAAATTGATAAGTATGCAACTAATACAGTATGGAAATCTTAAGCAGACATATACTATGTAACAAATAAAATTCTTAAAAGTGACATATATATAATAAAATTCTTAAAAGAGACATAAATTGTGGAAGAAATGGACTGTATGATAACTTTGTTTAAAATTACATGGTAAATATTTGGAAACCTATTTGGAATTTCAAAGAAACAATCATAATTTATGATTTAATTTTAATAAAAAGACTTAGATGGATTCAAGTCACCACTTATTATTAATTAGTATTATTATTATTATTATTTTTTATTTTTTATTTTGTTTTCAAAGAATCAACAACTATAAATGTGCATTGAGTAAACAATTAACATCTCTCTTTAAAACATACAAACTATTTTCCATTTTCTGATAAATAATAATAAAGCACGGCCTAAGGGTAATTTGGTATTTTCAGTAGGAGGCAACAGAGTTGTGATACTCAACACTCGGAAAAACTACAGAACACAGATCAACAAAGACCAAACTTCTTTTCTATCAAACTCTCCGGCAGAGCGGTACCCGATCAACGGGTTGGCCAATTCGGGGCATTATACGAATAGTAAGCAGATATGGGAGCACTCGCCTGAGAGGATGAATATACAGGAGGAGCCGCCGCCGCTGCCGCCACCACCTGTGGCAGCATTGCAGCTGCTGATGAAGCATACTGTGCCGACCCCGCCGCCACGTAGGAGCTACTACTATACGGGCCCACATTTTCTCCCTGTGATGGCAATTGGTAATAAGCAGGCGCCGAAGCATATTGGGCCGAAGCTGGTGCACTGTACTGGGCTGCAGCTGCCGACAAATTGGAACTGTACGCAGCTGCCGACAAATTGGAACTGTAAGCAGCTGCAGCACTGCCTTGATACTGCGAGCTTGTCTGTAAAGGCAGCTGGTAATAAGGAGAGTTTACGTTTGGCTGTGAAACCGATGAAGTATACAGGGGCTTGTTGTATGCAGCAGCTATGTTATTATCTTGATACAGTGATTCTCTCTGTGGAGGCAATTGATAGTGATGATTGTATTGCCTTTCCGAAACGGGGACTTGTTCACGAGGCGGCCTCTCGTCTGTAACCCTGTACCTGATCAAAGCGGTATTTTGAGAATCGGTGAAATCATCTCTGTTGATTAAATAACAAAAGGATTAAACGAAAAAGATGGGTGCGGGTGCAAATGTAATACAAAATGAAAAACCATCACTTGTTTCGAAAATTTTATCGCCGTTTAAAAATCCCAACCAGAACGGCTTAATTGTCCCAGTTACCCAAATTCAAATAGCACATAGAAGTATATACTATATCAAAATTTGATGCCCAAATTCATTTTGGTGGCATCCAGTCTCGGGAATAAGACAGTATAATATAATCAGTTAAAACCGATAAAACAGAAATCACAGCCCACTAGTTTTGCCCCACAAAAGTAAAAACACTAACTACATCTAAACCCTCTTCCGAATCTCCGACAAAAGAAAATACGGGAGTTAAAGAGAGAGAAAGCACCTTGAATAGGGTGGCTCCTCGACCCCGTAGGCAGTGAAGGACGATCTTTGAGGATCGGCAACATAGTAACTACTTGTTCCGGGTAAACTTTGATGACCTAAATTTGGATTCATGTGTTGCTGAGGTTCCATGTAAGCTGCTGCTGTTCTATTATGATACCGATGCTGCAAATAGTTTGCTTTTGGAACAACAGGTTGAGGTTGTACTAATGTCGGAACGCTGCTATATTGCCTCCCATATATATATGGAACCTCCATTGCAGGCGGCGGTACTGTATGCTTAAACTGATGCACCATTGCTGAATGAGGCATTGCCCTTGATACTGATACATGAGCTTGGGGTGTAGGTTGAGAAAACGATGATGATGATGATCCAGTAAGCGGACGAAATGATGATATTAATTTTCTCACCTGCTCCGAAAAAAAAATAATATCGTTTAGTATATGTTGTGAAAAGTTTCGAGATGGCACAATATCCAGCCACAACATACATTAAACTCGACACCTTGACTGAGGAAAAAAAGGGTCTTACCTGCTTTCCAGTGAGTTCTTGCTTGAATTTCGAGCCTGCATAATTCTCTTGTATAACGTGCCTGAGAGAACTCTCGGGTAGGGGAAGGCATTCCTTGAAGATTTTAAATTTTACCTGCAAGTGAAAAAACCAGCACCCTCGTATCACAAGAACGAAAAGATCCCTCACTCTCAATGAAAAGCAACGAAAGCTGAGGTGTCATTAACAGCAACCTTTACCCCCAATCCAAATCAAGATTGTGAGTTCCTTTGGACAATTAGGGAAAAAAAAGTTATTTAGGCTGAACAATCCATTTTTTTCCAAATAAAATCCCGAGGTCTATTGTTCCAGATGGGGACGAAAAACCCTTGCACCCCCAAGTGTTTATTTTCTGCAAACTTTTCACCAAATATAAAATCTAATTATATTAAAAACTCATGGATTCATTACTTAAGGAAAAATTCATTCTTGAAAGAATCTCACATGACATGCATTTGCCAAATACGTCTAATATTTTGCAGTTAGTTATAGCTTAAAACTTGAGAAAAGCTATTACGGGTGTACTAAATAGACCAATTATGATTTATGGAAACAAAACATAAAGCCAGATAAAAATCAATTAGCGAAGCAAACACTTGTAATTCGCCATTAAATGATTCTTCAATAGGTTGCCGTCCATGTAAGCATAAGACAGTAAACCAAGTTTAGGAAAGCTAAATGATAAAAGAATCCAACGTATTACCATGTTTATATAATGCATCGTAAATGTCATTTTTATTTCTTGCATCGGAGATAGTTATATTCAATGCTTCGGAACAGTAGAAAACAGTGTAAATTATACCTGAGCAGGAAATTTCCCTCTAAAAGCCGTCGGTTCCAAGTTCAGCTTTCCAGTAGATGTTGCCTCATATATGCCATATAGAAGCTTTAACTCGAAATCAAACAAGAACAGCTTAGTGCCAGGCTTTATCTCCTCCACCACTTCCTTCTTTCCGGAAGGAAGCCCAAAAACACGGTATCGATAACATTCCAACTTTGTATTTGGATTACACATGAATATAAAACCGGCAAGGCGCTTCGTTTTTTCCATTTCCTTCTCTTTATCCTGTGCCGCACCTCTGTCGATTTTTGTTTCATCTGCCTCAGTAGAAGGAGCGGGAGGAACAGGATTTGTTGGTGCTGTACTGAATGCGGGACCCTTCATCTTTTTTATTGCAGCATTTGGCGGACCGGTCGTTCTGCGTTTTGTTTTGACTTTTTTACCGTTTTCTTTTCCCATAAGCAAATTCTACAAGAGAAAAGGATAAGTCATTAATTACATGTATGCACATAAACTTCAGCATTTTGAAGAAATTGAAGGAATATAACATCACAATAAATATAATGCAACCTCGTTCGCAAGAAAATCAACAAGTTGCTAGAACAGTAAAAATTATATCCTATATCATAAACATATACCGTCAGATTGGTATAAGTTTTACGTAATTTTCATGCATTTCTCATCTGGAAACACAGGCCACGTGACAAACTTATATGTTGGAAAAACGGTCAACCTGCATTTAAGTCCCAATTGAACATGTGGCAGAACTAGACCGAGTGACGCTGATAATTTATAATTCAACACACATCGAAAAAAATTACCAATATTCTCGTGTAGAGAGTAAGATTGAGTAAGTGACTCTTGAAAGCTTGAGCTTTATGCATGATCATAAAATCCATTCATGAATATTTTTGTAACTTTGTACAACAAGGAAACAATTTCATGTTTTTAAACTAAATAATGCCAAACGACTCAAAAAATCGGTTTGATAAACCGTCAATCGAACTATTTTTATTAAAAGGTAATTTATAAATACCATCTTAAGGTATTTCAAGTAACATTTGAGGTTTGTCGATTAAAGCCACTACTATTTAAAAAGTTCAAAACATTAAACTCACTACAATCCAAATTATAAATGTCGGCAATAATCAAAGAACTTACCTTCTATCTCTGATTAAAATGCTGGTTCACTTTCTTAAATAAAACGCAATTTCCTATTTTTAAGCAACCGACGTATACCTATTCATAAAACTAATTCCACCAGAGAAAAACCTAGCCACATGCTCCAACCATCGACCCCATCCCAAGACAACAAAAACAGAAGAGGAAAAAGGATTGCAAAAAAGAAATCGGACTGGAGTTCATAAAGAATATGTTGTTAGGTTTTCAAAGTTTTTTTTATAGGCAAAAGCTTAAATTGATAAAAAAAATAATAATAAATAAATAAATAAATAAAAATTAAATCGGTAAAGATTAACCGGTGACAGCTAGAATTGATTTCCGCTGCCAAAATCAGAGATATACACGCGCATTCCAAGAAATCGGGGATATTCGCTAGACCTAACCGTTATTACCTAATAAGTCCAACAAACAACAACGGTAACAGAAGATCGTAACATGACTAACTCTAATGATTGTTAAACTCTCTCCCACTTAAAATTATATTGGTAAAGATTAACCAGTGACAGCTAGAATTGATTTCCGCCGCAAAAATGGGAGATACACGTGCGCATTCCAAGAAATCGGGGGTATTCGCTAGACCTAACAAGTCCAACAAACAACAACGGTAATAGAAGATCGCAACACGACTAACCCTAATGATTGTTAAACTCTCTCACACTCAACCAAATCCCAAAAAACTCAACCCCCCACCAAAATAGGAAAATCCTGTAAAATCACATTGTTTAGGAATAAAAGCAAACCCTAATAAAATTCCAACACAAACAAACAAACAAACAAGCCCAAATTCTTGCTTAATTAGTGAAATCATCAACAAGAAAATTAAATATATATATATCACATGCACATTGTTTGATATGACCACAATTTTTTTTCCTTTTTGTAATTCAGAAACATGAACAGATAACTGCATCACATGCATCAAGAATCAACAAACGAAAAAAAAACCAAAAAAAAACTAAGAATCAAACAAGGCAATTGGTATACGAGCGTACGAACACATATGTGTGTTTATACACATACATTTCCGACGATATACAGAAACCCTAAATCGCCGATTACTGGGGAAGAAAGGTTAATCGTTCATACCGATGGTGATTGTAGCGGTGGAATTACAGTGGACTGAAACCCGGGGTTTTGATGCGAGAGAGAGAATTACAGGAATTTAAAAAGCAAGCGGATTTTGCTATAAAATTGACGGTCCAGATTTCGCAATAAGATTGACGGTTCAGATTTAGCAATTTTACCACGTGTTTAAGTCCAGGATTGCACGTACACGTCAGATTTTTTGGTGTGCCCACCGTATTTCACATTTAATTTAAGGCAAATTGCATGCCACCCCCTATAAATTTCTAACTTTCGCACTTTACCCCCTCAAAATTTGGAAATGTGAATGTCCGCCCCCTTCAAAATGTTTTCTTGTTGCACATTGCCCCGATAGCAAAATTGCAATGGATTATTCACTGGAATTGAGTGTTTTTAGTTGCACGTTGCCCCTTTAAATGTTATTTTTATTGTACATTGTCCCTTAAAAACATTAATTTTCTGCACGTTGTCCCTTTAAATGTTATTTTTGTTACACAATAACCAGCAAAAATTGGCTTTTGGGGTAAAGTGCAAACAAAATAATATTTTGAGAGGGGGTTATCCATTTTTTTTTTGGGTGGAAAGTGAGAAAATGGAAAATTTATATTTGTGAAGTGCATTTTGTCATTTAATTTATACGCAATCTACACACATGAACGTTAAAATGCCAGTAAATATTTATGAATCTATATTATATATATTTATTAATCTATATTAAATATTTATAAATCACCTATATATCGGTGAAATTCATAAATTGTTAGACATTTTGCAATTTTGAAATGTACGTCGAATAGGAAAATTTTACGCTTACGAAACTTTGGATATGAAGTTTATAAGTTGTTTCCAGGGCTCTTACATCAAATGAGAAAAAGGTTTTCCATTTATAAATAGTTTAAATATTTTATAGCGTAAGTTGTAAACTATAATAATAATGGTAGTTTATAATCTGTATAATGTTTTATAACTTTTCAAAATAAATTTGATTACATATGCTTCGTTTTATTTTTACTTTTGAAAGAATATATATTTTTAAGGTAAAAAAATTACAGCCACCCCTGAGGGAAGGTTAAATTACGAAAAAACTCCACATATTTGAGTAGTTACTACCACCCCTCAACCTAAATCCTCTTACATGTTCATTATTACGGTGTCAAATTCAATAATATTTTATTGGTTATGTGAAATGTTCTTGAGTTTGTACTCGTTTTGTGCAAAAATATAGTTTCTGATGCACAATAGTCTGTTATTTACATGTTAAGAGATACTTCTTATGATCATCTTGTTCCAAAACTTGAATGGGACAAAACGGAAGTACAAACTGGAGAATATTTCACATAATGTAGAAGATTCTACAAAATTTGACAACCACACGAATTCATATGTAAGAAGATTTATGAGGAAAGTGATTGTAATAAGCCGAATATGAAGGATTTTTTATAATTTGATCTTAACTCAGGGGTGGCAGTAAATGACCCAGTTTTTTTATGGCTTTTAAGTACATCAAATTGCTTAAATGAATAATAATACCAATAACCTCTTGAAAAGCTGTATTAATTTCTTACATGATGAATTAATACTCTACTTAATCAAAACTGAAAGTCGATGCAATCGACAATCGAAAATGCATTCTTTGCACCTGTCCAAAAGCACGACATCCGTGAATTTCCGATCAACTATCGACGAGTATACTTCCTCATTAACACAACAAAACTTCCCACAGGGCAAAAAATGAGGAAGACATATATATCAAAAATAAAAATAAAATAAAAAAACATTAAATAATATTCTCTTCTTCGTCGGAGCAAATCAGTTGACTTTGTGCAGTCCGATGTTCAAGTCGGAAGAAATGGAGATGAGGAGAGGCAGAGCATGGTGCCATGCAGCTTTAAAGACTCGTTTCTGATGAGCTCTAATCGACTGCGATGGTTTGTGAGCGTTGTATCTAATATCGAAGATGTGAATAACGGGGTCCGCCGAACCGGACGTCATGTACAGACCATCTGGGGACCACGCCTGGTTTATTAGAGCCGATTGCGACTCGCTGCTCTCTTGTTTAAAACCGAACGCGTGAATCTCCATCTGTCTTAATCTCAGATCGTACAGTCTTAGCTGTCGCTCTGGCGTCCTACAACAGTCAAATACCGTAAAACATATACTCAGCATGCGAACATATACACGAGCGTCGATTTTACTTCATAGCTAAGAATTTATCAAGAATCGGAATATTAAAATCGGATTTTTTTTTAGGGTAAATTACAACCACCCTTGAGGTATGGTCAAATTACGAAAACCCCCCTCCTGTTTGGGTAATTACAACCACCCCCTCAATTATAAATTTTCTTACACGTCCACCCTTGCGGTTTCAAATTTAGTGGAATCTTCTAGAGTAAATGAAATATTATCATTTTTGTACCTGTTTTATCCGATTCGAACTCCACATTTTGAAGCAAGATGATCATAATATGTGTTCTTTAGCTTGTATATCATATTGTGGTGCATCAGAAACTGTATTTTTACAGAAAACAAGTACAAACTAGAGCACATTCCACGAAATCTAGATGATTATGTTGAATTCGACACCATAAGGGTAGAGATGTAAGACAAAATCATAGTTGAGGGGTAGATGTAATTATCCAAACAATAGGGGCTTTTTCATAAATTCACCATACCTCAGGGGGGTGGTCGTAATTTACCATTTTTTTTCGATGTAAACACTTACCCTGTTTGAACCATAAAGAGGTTGAAGTCACGCGGATTAGGCAGAACGCTCATGCATTTGCTATCGATCTGATGCTTGTAATCTGCTCTGCCAGTTGTCGCATCGAACCCGATTATCCGTTTATCCGCACCGGCAGACATAACGATGTTCTTGTGCTGCATGCCAGCTATCCCCATTACAGCAGACGAGTGATGGTTTCTGTGCAGCGATTTCGGCTTCCACACATCTTCTCCGTCTTTCTGGTTCCATAGGATTACCGCATGGTCACTTCCTCCAGTCACGAACGATTTCTCGTCCCACGGCATAAACATTATGCTGTTTATGATTCCTTTCGTGTGAGGCTTGTCTTCGAGAAAGCTCACACGTGTCTTCTGCAAATTATTCGAAAAAAAATCGTTACGATTAGTTGACACAATTGGAAAACGTTTCAAGCTGAGAAATCATAAGCTAGTTCACTTAGGCCTCGTTTGGTTCCTATAATCTCCCAATTACACAAATACAAACGGTACATAAATACAGCGAATCTCGAGAAAAAATATACCAGCAATAACAACTTTGGATTAGGAAGATTACCTCTTTACCATTGTTTAGATTCAGAATCGATATCTGGGAATCGCCACCATCGGCACTATAAACGGAAAAGAGTTTGTCTCCACGCGGATGCCAAGCTATATCTTCGGGCCATCTCCTCTGCTTATCGGATTGACAATCAGTAGCACTAAGAAGAGTCGCACCAGAACTGCAATCGTACATAAACGAAGATCGAAGAAGTTTTAAGTCGTATAATAAAAATCTACGTATCGAAATAATATTGAAGCAAGTGAATTTTCAGCATAGGGGCGCGTGCGTACCCTCTCCCTTGAACTTGCCATAGGTTGACTATTCCATCCAAAGCACTGCAAAACCATTCATATATAAATAAATATACATACACACACACACACACACACACACACACACACACATATATATATATATATATATATAGCGAACCTAGGCCCCAAAATAATATCAACGTAATTAGCATCGTCTTAGCTCGACCATTAGGAAAGACAAATAATAAGTTACCTGGTCACGAATAATTGATCATTTGTTGGACACAAAACGAGACTTCTAAGCTTTCGTTTGTGCTGACTAGACAAAAGACAGCCCGTCTGACACCGGATTGTGACTGCCGACGAGCTTTTGCCAATCGACTTAATCAAATCGCTATGTTCTCTCTGCTCTGTAATTAAAGATAAGGCAACACATAAATCATTTTCGATACGCTAAGAAACTCATGCAAAAGCACGAGAACAATGCATGAAGGATTAAGGAAAGAAGTCGAACCGAGCTTCACTGTTGTTCCTTTATTAGGTTGAGTTTCCACATTCTCCGGCTCGGGTGATTTTTTACGAGCTTTTTCCCCCTTTGACTTTGCAACGCTACTGGTGATTTTATTTCCAGATTCCTTTGTCGTTGCAGGTTGAGCATTCTTTGTAGCAGCCACAGAAGGTATCAAAAGTTGCGGTCTTGACTGAGTTTGGTTTTGAGAAGAATCCCCGTTTTTTTTTAACGGGCTAGGCGGTTTTTTCGTAGCAATCGAAGAATCACCAGAGGGTTTCACTGTGGCCTGAGTTTGATGGGATTGAGAATTTCTTTGAGAAGAAACGTCGTCTTTCGTAATTGGGCTTGCAGATCTTTTTTTAGTGTTTACATTTTCCCTTCCATTGGATAAGTTTTTAGAAGCTTTTACGGCGTTTCGACCTCGAAGACGAGCCAATTTACTTTGGGTGTCCTCCAATCTCTTCTCTGCTTCTTCAAGCTGCGGACGACGTAAACAGAGATTAAAGAAAGATAAATAAAAAAATGAATCTTGCACGTAACTTATAAATAGAATATGCACATTTTGGAATACGTAAAACCCTTATTTTTCAATAAATAATCTACACGTGCAAGTTAACGGAATCGACCGATTTAAGAAACTAAGTATTGAAAGCAATCGGAGCACGGCAAACAAATATGAAGTTGATTGGCCATAATAACCCACGGGGTGCAACTAAGTGCTAGTTCCAAATAACCCCACGATACCAAGCATAAATAGTCGAATAAGGTTACGATATGCGACAACTTCATTAGATTTCTGAATACATAATTTACTAATCTCGAAATGCATAAACACTAAAAGATTTATTTCCCCGTTATCTTATGGTATAGAAACAACTAACGGCAGATGTTTACTAATAGTTCGTCCGAAGCAACACCATCTAATTACAACCTAACAATTAAAGAGAACAAATCAATAATTGAGTGAAACCGACGATCATGGTCAAATAACCATCGCTTATGAGAAAGACCAAAAATAACACCTTCGCGTTTCAAACTTCGCAACGAATTCATCTCGCAAATCAAGAATTAGATTTTTTCCCCTCAAATTGAGAGATAAAGACAAGAAAACACTGTATCGCTAATTAAATTATCCATGCATGAGAACTTCTTCGGAGGGATATCCATATCGATTTGATAAAATCAAGAAAGAAAAAAAAAAATATGTTCTTTTTTGCACCACATTTTAAAATTAAAAAAATTATTGGCCTGTTCAATGCGTAAAACAGTTTCCGTACAAGTCGACAAAAGAATCTACAGCGCCGAAGCCATAGTATTACACTACCTGCTAACCTTTTTTATACCAGCATTAAATGCAAAAACATCCAAAACCCCTCAAAAAATTGCAACGAAAAATGCCGGTACAGCTCACAATTTAACCCAACAAAATCCAAAATTAGCTCATATCCACCGAAAATAAAAGCACCGAAACTCCAAGACACTTGTAATAAAAATAATAAATCAGTGAACTAATCATATTCATTACAAAAAACACCAGAAAAATACACTGAACTGAACTCTTCATTACACATTTATACAAAACAGTCAAGAAAATACAAAACATTCGAAAAATCACAAATAAAACGCAGAAAAAAAAAACCCCTAAAAACATTAATCATCATAAAATAAATACAAAATAAAAATTGAAGCTTTTTTTCAAAAACAAAAAAAAAAAACTTAATAAACATTAATCATAAAATAAATACAAAATAAAACTTGAAGATTTTTTTTCAAAAAAAATAAAACCTGGGTCCTGTAGTACATAATACGCTGGTTAAGATGGCCGACTTCTTTTGTGCGATGGTCGACTAGGGCTAAAAGTGCTTCTTCCTGCTCTTTCATAAACTGCTCGTCAATTTCACCATCCTTTTTTTCCTCTTCCGCCTCTTCTTCTTCTTCTTCTTCTTCTTCTTCTTCTTCTTCTTTTTCTTCTTCTACGATTTCGATTTTGGGCTTTTTCAGAGGAGGATACCCGCTCATTTTAATTGATTCAAATATCCAATTGATTTCTCGCTCTGTAATTGTATTGATTCAAAAATCCAATTGCGCAGCGGAATTGATTGTAAATTGAAACTATGAGCGGGATTTGGGGGAAAATTATTAGTGTGTGAAATGTGTGTTTTGTTCTGATAAAAAGGGTTTACCTTTGTGATTTGCCCGAGAAGGAAAAGCGGTATTTTATATTTAAAATAAATATTTCACACATAAATTATATAAGTAAGCTTGATAATAAGAATGACTTAATCCCATTTTGCACCCTACAAATTATTTTGTTACACTTTGGACCCTCAAAGAGAATTAACAGCGTTTTATATCCTCAAAACACCATAAATCATGCAATCCTTGATGAATTTTTTAATCGGTAATTTTGTAGAATGTCAAATGTATCGAATGTTTTTATTTAAATTCATCGGTGCTTTCAAAACTAAAAAGTGAAAAAATAAAAGGTTAAATTACGGTCACTCCCTTGAGTTAAAGTCAAATTACGAAGAAAAAAAAACTCTTCATGTTTGTGTAGTTACAACTTACAACCACCCCTTCAATTATGAATCTTCTTGTACGTCGACCTTAGCAGTGCCAAATTCAAAAGAATTGTCTAGATCTAGATTATGTGGAATATATATATATATATATATATATATATATATATATATATATATATATATATATATATATATATATATATATAATTAAATTTAACTATAAAGCAGAATAATAGACAAGCGGTATTTAATATGGTTCGGACACAATTATGACCTCTATACATTCACGAACTTGCAAACAAGATTTCCACTAATTCAGTATTGTGGAAAAATATTATGACTTTACTGCAGAAACAATAAAAACACTATCTTTAGGTAATACGCCGTTCACCATTAATTCAGTTTTATGGAAAAATATTAGGATGGAAACAATAAAAACTCTCTAATTTAGTTTTATGGAAAAATATTATGATGAAAACAATAAAAACTCTATTTTTATGTAATACGCCCGTTATTGAATGCTACTCGAACTTCTTATCTTCTTCACTGCAGCTCCCTTAATCTGCATTTCTTGGACTCCTTCCAAGATTGAACTCCATTTATCTTTATGTAACACGCCTGTTATTGAATACTACTCGAACTTCTTGTCTTCTTCACTGTAGCTCCCTCAATCTGCACTTATTGGACTCCTTCCAAGGCTGAACTCCCTTTAGATTCGGTAGTAGAAACCTGGATGGCACAACACTGATTTGTTCTCAATTCCGATTTCCGATTTTCCTTTTTGGAATTAGTTTTTCGTTTTTGGCGTAAACAAGGACTACAAAACAAATAAAAGATTATATATATCAAGGGTCTCAAGAAAGAGGCAAAATTAATCTTTTTCTTATAACTTTCAAGAAGTATAATGTATAGAATCTTTGAAATAGAGAAGAATCTTATAGTACAGCGTGAAAGAACTAATATTGTAATATCCAGATGATTAAAAGTCAGATTCTAGTACAATGTGAGCAACGACAACAGTGACGTCATCACATTTCCCGCCGAATTGGTACCTCATAGAATTAAGCTTGGATTTGGATTTAGCAGATTTAAGCACGTGCTTAATCTCACGATCATATTTCTTAATCTCGTGTTTAACCCTACGACTGAATTCCTTTTCAGCTTTCTTCATAACATAGTCTTCTTCCTTCTTATTACCTTCTTTCTTCTTCTTCTTCTCGCTGCTTTTTTCTCCGGCGGCCTCGCCGTGTTTCCTCCCTGCTGGCCGCTTTTTAGCCGCCGCCGAATGGCTGCCGGCGCCGACGGCGGCGGCCTGAGATTTTTTAAGCGATGGCGGCCCCGCGGTGAAAGGGGTGGCTGAGGAGGTGTTCGCTGATAAGGAATTAGATTCATCAAGCGTCGCCGGAGATTCAGCCGCCTCCTGAGAAGAGATGTTCGTCGGCGCCGGAGATTCTGTTGCCTCCCGGGAAGGGGTGGCTGCGGTGGTCGCTGGCGGAGATTTTTTACGCGCCGCCGCTGGGGAAGAGGTAGCTGCGGTGGTCGTTGGAGAAGATTCTTGAAGCGCCGCCACCTTGGAAGGGGTGGCTGCGGTGGTCGCAGGCGTTGCTTTCTTTGATTTCTTTGCCTTTTCTCCTTGGCCGCGTTCCCTCCGTGACCGCTTTTTAACCGCCGGTGAAGGGCTGACGGCGGCGTTCTTGGAGGAACATCTTTCAACCGACGGCCCCACAGTAGATTCCTCAAGCGCCGCCGTCGTCGTCGAAGATTCTTGAAGCGCCGCCCCCACCCTCTGAGAAGAGGGGACCGATGTGCTCGTCAGAGAAGATTCTTGAAGCGCCGCCGTTACAACCTCCACCCCCGCAGCATCCGTCAGCGGAGATTCTTGAAGCGCCGCCACACTGGCCGGCGGCCGATTTCTTCGACTCGCCACCAAACCCGCCACAAGAAAAGGGCAGCCGGCGGTTTTATTCATCGGAGAAGACTTCCAAAGCGCCGCCCTAGCCAAATCCTCCGGCAGATAACTCCAATCCAAACTACCATTCACGATCGTCTCAATCTCCTCCGGAAACAAATTATCAAACAACCCATCGCTACCAACAACCACCACCTCGCCGCCCTGAAGTTCCCCCACGACCAACTCCTCCGCCGATTCCGGTCCAGTCTTGGACCGCCGGCCCAACTGTTACGGATAGTTAAACCGGTGCTGCTGAACCGGAGACCTGTAAAACACCTTCCCTTCCCTCATCACCAAGAACCCGGAGTCGCCAATATTCGCCGCCGCCAGAGAATCTCCGGCGAGCGACACTATGCAGGCGGTGGAAGAACCCAACGCCTCCGTCCTGTAGAAAGCCTCGGTGAGGATCTTCTTGGGGTCCACCTCGCCGGGCCGCCGCCGGAGCCTGTCGACGGCGAACTCGGCGTTTCTCATCAACTCTCTAGCGTACTCGCCGGCGTCGATGCCGTTCTTGGAGCTGCCGCCGACGCCGTCAGCAACTCCGATGACCTGAGCCTCCTTGTGGAAGAAATGGGCCTCCTCGCCGTAGGGTTTCATAGGGTTATCCTTTGGAATGTAGAAACAATCGACCACCATCTTCAGATTCTTCATAATCATCAAATTTTTATTTAATATTTTTAATAATTATTTATTTTATTCACCATGCTAAAAAGGGACAAGAAAATACATAATAATACATACACCGTATGCCTATGTGTATATATATATATTTAGTGGGTAGTTATTTATATAGATTAGTAAATTTTTGGAGATATAACTATTTAACACTTTATTTATTTCCTTATATTTGTATTAGCTTATGTATGATATTGGAAAGATTTTTCAAATTTAGGTTGTGGATATCATGAAAGATTCTATTTCCTTAATATTGATTTCTTAACACTTAAGTTAAGTTTAGAAATTTTTCTGCATATATAAAGCCTCTCACCCTCAGATGAGTGAAGCTTGAAAATTGAAAAACACGTCAGCATAAAGGCTTTGCAAAGGTAGTCTAGTCTGAGCAGTTTATGTCTACATGTTGTAGGTTGCAACATTACCGATTTCTTCTACCAGGACATAAAGAAAATATATCAGCATTTCAATAGGGAGATGTCAACCTGTCGGCCGAAAGGAATTTAACATTGGAGGGAGCCCAACAATACGAATGAAGGAACTGCCGTGAAGATCAATAAGTTCGAGTCGTGTGCAAGAACGTCGTAGAACATAGTAAATGTATGGTGCATTTGTATCCAAAACACTTTAATATCGTGTGCTTTTTATTCTCCTTTTATAAGCTAGATTTTATAAGAATACACGAAATACTGTTTCTAAATCTTTAATGTCTCAACAGCAAACTGTCTTAAAAATAATCTGTCTCAACAAAACGAGTAGATTTCTATAGACAAATAAACCAACAATTGGCATTAAGAGTCGGTCACTAGATATATTCAGTGTCTGATTTTGGCAATTTGGTTTATTTGCTTTACTTATTCTATGATGAATATTCACAAGCAAGGCGGTTCAATTACACGTCCCCCTTGTTAGATGGAACAAACTATACGTACTGGAAAACCAAGATAAATATGTTCATCAAACCAATAGATGGAGATTCATGGTGTACAATTCTAACAGGATGGACGAGACCAGTGGCAAAAATTAAACAAGATGTTGAGTACGAAGAATATAAAAAGAACTGGAGCAAGAAAACATAATGTGGCCAAATATTTGTTCAAATTTAAATGATATATTAATGCAGTTGACACCAATCAATTTAAATTGATATCTGGTTGTGAAGGTCTAAGAAGGCTTAGGACATTCTTCGGACTGCATATGAAGGAACGACCTCAATAAAACTTTACAAACTCCATATGCTTGCCACGCGCTTAGAAGATCTTCGAATTAATGAAGATGAGACCGTAACTGACTTCAATTCGAAATTGTGCAGCATTGCTAATGAAGCTCGTGGCTTTGAAGAAACATATCCAGAAGTGAAACTTGTGCTTCAAGTTTTAAGATCTCTTTTCGAATCGATTTGCATATGTATGTGTGCTTAGTGGATAGTTATTTGTATAGATCTATAGTAAAAAATTAGTCGATACATTCCAACTAGTATAACATCTCATAGACCGAAAATCACTAATACTATCAAACTAAGATATATCCTCAAAAGTATTGGGTGTATTGATAATTTAGATAATTTATTAGTGTATATATATATATATATATATATATATATATATATATATATATATATATATACATATATATATATATATATATATATATATATATATACATTCCCTTCTTTTTCTTTTTGTACATAGATATATTCTTCAAAATACTATTATTTCATAGTTAGATAGTTTTAGTCAAGTGTTTTAATTTCTGTCTATATATATATATCTCTCTCTCTGAGTTGTATTCACCCTAAAAAAATGTGTATCTAGCCGTGTGCACACACATACATGCGAACATTGATTTACACTAGGTGAATTTAAACCGTAGATCTATACATAATCACACACACAACTATATGTATGTGGGCAAAATCCACCGTGTGTAAATAACCAGATGTGGCATCTAACTCCTCGTTTATATCTCACTTAAATAAAGGTCGAACATCGGTCCCGATTAGGGGTGCAAGTTATAACGGATTTTCCAATTTCCGCCGGTTCCGATCCGAAAAGTTCCGATTTTGGAACAACTTTTTTCATTCCGACTTCCGAAATTCCGATTTCTGAAGTTTTCCGATTTTTTGGGATTGGAATTGGAATTATATAAAATAAATTTGGAATTTCCGATTTTCGATCCGATTTAATTCCGAAATTAATTTCGAAAAATACAATAGTATATATTATATAATACTTATTTTCCGAAAAATACACCTATAAGTTTTGTTTTGCGATTTTGACATAATGAATTGTTGTTAGAAATTTTATTGGAAATTATGTTGTGTTTATTTTTATTTATTTTTTTGAGATGAAATTTAGTAGTTATTAGTTTTACTTTTATCGACGTGGATGCTCTTATTTTTGAAAAATTATGAACATTTTAGAAAATTTCGGCTAAGTTTTGAAATTTTAAAGCTTATGTGATTTCCGATTTTTTTCCAAAATTCCAAAATTTCCGGGCCTTTCGGAATTGGAATGAATTTTTAGATTCCGAAAATTTTGGAATTGGAATTGGAATTGATTTTGTACTTCCGAATTTTTTTGAAAATTTTCCGAAAATGCTAATTCCGATCCGATCCAATCCATCCGACTTTCACCCCTAGTCCCGATAGACAGTTAAAACAGATATCGCACTTCACATGTTTTGTAGTTCTACAATGTCAAAAAAAAATTCAAAATTTTTGCAAATTTTAAAATAAAATTTTGTATCCTACTTAGCAAACAAAAAATAAATTACTAAAATTCAGTAAATTTCGAAAACCAAGAAATGTGCCAGCAAAATTATCTTAAGTTCAGAACCATGTATAATAAGTCTCTTATCTCCAAAGCCTACTTATGAATCCCTTCACTTCTTTCTTCATCCTATTGTCAAGTGATGGGAACTCAATTAAGTTGTAGGCAAGATCAAGAACAATTGGATTACGCGCAACTGCTTGAAATGCAGGTGGGAATGCTTCTATACGAGGGGTTGACTTTGTGGTGGGGTCACCCATAGCCGATTCGTAACTGTCCAATTTCTCCAGAAGCAGTTTCTCGAGCTGAAGAGAAGACCGACGTGTTAAAAACAACCGTTTTACACGAATTCAATTTTTACAGAGAAAAAAAATAGAATTAAGTATAAGGTGCATGAGTTACCTTCTTATCATTTCCTGATAATGATATGCTCGATATTTTCTTTGAAAGATTCTCTGGGGCTTTCTCCTCCTCCATAATCCCGGTTGCATGCTCTATACAAATATTGGACCGGCAGTCGTTGTAAAGCTTGTTCAACTCCTGTATAGTGACCTGCTCGAGCAATAACAAGAAGATAGGGACTCAGAAGGAAGTCCAAAAGTAATAGTTTTTCACTATACATGAAGGTCATCGAAATGAAATGAACTCGTTGGCCTCACACGAGAGGAAGTTTAAAGAAATTGCGGTGAACTGAAAGAACATCTACAATTCCCTAAACTGGTTATAATCCCTATGCAGCTGGCTGCTTATCTTTTTTCTCTCGTTTTTTTTTCTTTTTTCTTTTTTTTTTTTTTTGCATTTAGAAAATCGTAATCATAATCATTAACCACCTGATCAGCATTGTTAAAACTCTGAAGTTTCTTAAGAGCGGTATCAGCCAAAGAGCGTGCTCGGCTGAATAAAGCATATGCTTCAGCCCTCTTTCCAGCCAAACTGTAGGATTTAGCCAAGTAAAAGCACCTGCAGAAAATTTACAAAGTGGTCCATCAATCTCTTGTGACTTGAGCTCACCTCCAGAACATTAAGAAATTTGTTATCCGTGAAAAATCATAGCCACGCATGCATGGCTAAATTAACAGACAGAAAAACGAAATATTTTGGTGTTCTATAAAACAGTTACAAAGATACTAGGTTATAATAAGCGCATACAAAGAATAGAATAATAAGCGCATATCAATTACACATGTGTTGAATAACCTACACATTTCTTTTCATTTCTTCACGGATAATGACATGAAAAGGAGCCTACTAATATAATGACATTAAAATTGGCCTATTTTTATATAAATAAAAGAATTGATGAATGAGATTACACTGTACAAGCTGCAAATGTAAATTTCACTTACGCGTCACACCTTAACAAGTCAAGGTTTGGAATCAAATGAAAGAGAGAGGAGATAAATAAAAGGCTTAGTAAGACACAATAAAATTGCAAACCTCTCTGCACGGAAACCAAAACTTTTGAGTTCACATTCCTCAGCAAAGGTCTCTTCCTCTGGCTTTCTATTTCTTCCCGAACTAACCAGATCAGAAAGATCAGCAGTATTCTGTATAGAAAGCGCAAACATTACTTTTGGTTAAACTATCTCCGTAGAACAAAATTCCTATGGTTAGAAAGCTTCAACTTATGCATATTGGATTAAATTTTAACGAGAAAATGAAACTGTTAGAACAATAAAACAGTTACTCACTTGTAGCAAGAGATCATATAACCGAACAAGCTCCTCGGGCTTCGTGACTTTTTCGTTTTTATCATCACGACCCCTACTGAGCTTACTTTTTGCCATGGCCACCAATAACTGGTTCCGTTCAATTGTTCTCCTTCCCAAGACAGCACCAATAGCTTTGTCAAGGCCATTAAGTTCATCTTTCATGCCTTCAGAATTACCTGCAGTAGCCTATACCAAATAGATTGCCAGAATTAGATACACGAATACAAGATATCTGGAAGGCATCCCCTAGATTGTTTACAAATTTTAACTGTCAGGTTCCCGACAATCTTCAAACATATGCATAAACTGTTACAAGGAAATGCAAAAAGAAAACCTCATTACTGAAAGCAATACTTACCAAGTCATTTCGTATGGAGCTCCGTGCTTCACTATATGCAGCAAATATTTTGTCAAATATGACCAGTTTTTTCTCTGTGGGGAGTGAATCTGCAGCTGGACCATTAATATCGTTCTCCAGTTCTTGAGCTGAAAAAATTTCACAACAAATAGAGATTTAGACAGTCTTCTAGAATACACGGCAGCACATCTCTACTGATATGTATAATGGAAAGGACCCCTACAATAGTTTCTTGTCTAACCTATTTGCCCCTCAAAACTATGGAATTTACCAATTTTATGCACAAATTTCCTATCAATGTTCTATCAGTCCTTGACTTCTATACTTATTCTTCCAACTATAAGAGTTTAGGGCGTAATTCAAATCACACAATCAACACATTTGTTTGCACTAAAACATACGTGCAAAGGCTGGCACGCCAATAAAAAATAAGGGCAGTACGCAGCAAACGAATAAGGTAAACTTTCTTAAAATATAATTAGCCATGATCACTGAGAAATAGAAGAGACCCTGAAATTGGAAAATTGCAAAATAGTAGGTAAAAATTCAAGCTAAAACTTGTATAAATGAACTTTCTTAAATTGCAATATGTTTGCATATCACATATACGAAGATATATAAGATTTAGAAACACATAATATACGTTGATGTATTAGCATATTTCTTGTTTTTTTTTTTTTTCCTTTTGACAGTATTCCAGACCAAATTAAATGTGGACTCCCCGGTCAGAGAGAAATATGCACTTCCTAGCCATAAACGGTATAAGTTGATCTATCAGAATATAACAGAAATCCGTTGAATGTAACAGAGATCCATCACATGGATTACGAAAAAGTTAGATAAGCCTTCACGGGAATTATTTTAAATCTTCACTATTAGCTAATGATCGTGTTTAGGGTTGTTTTAATATAATGGTTATAGAACTTTAAAATCAGGAGAGCACGATCAGCACCAAAGTACCCACGAGAATGAAGCTGATACCTAAGCATACAAGATATGACTTGTTTACATTGATTTTTTGCGCGCATACACACACAGAGACCCTCAAACCCCACTGCAATTCACAAAAGAAGGGGAAAACATACTTAGCCCTGGTGATGGGCCAATTTTCCAGTGCTAGTTTTCAATTAGAATCAGACAGGAAACGAAAGAAAACAGCAAGCCAATGAAACACCTTTCAAATCCCAATTTGCCAACTGTACTTCGAGACATGCTACTCAGGTTTAGGGGAGAATCTAACCTTTAAGTATGGAAACTCGAGTCTTAGGATTTGAGACAGGAAAAACTTCACCAAGCCAATGAAATGCAGTCATAGATGCAGCCTGCTGAGATCGAGCCTCAGCCATGACAGCCTGCCAATAAAGACAAACGAGGATATAAAGACCAATGAGATCCCTGAAAATAGCCATATTGTCAAGATACCCAACCTTGGACAAAAAGCAACACTCTGATTGACAACGTAGGATATCAGAAACTGCCTATGTTATGACAGACTCACCTCCAGTTTAGCTTTGAAAAGGTCCAAAGCAGGCCCTTCCATTTCTCCTATCTGGGCTAGTTCCGAAGTCTGTATATTTGACTCCCCAGCTTTATGAAGGCAATATCGTATACTAGGCTCAAGTTCCTCAACTCGCTCTCGGCATAAAACTTGGTTGTCTAAGTCTCCATATTTCCCAAGTTCCTCATAAACAGCTCTATCAGAATAATAAAGTTAAATTGATTGAAACAAGAATTCAGGACAGCCTTCTCGAAATGGTCAAGAGTAAAGACGATAGTAGCTTAAGAGAACAAAATCAAAAGCACATATGCAATTAAGTTTAATTTACATTCTTAATAAGAAGAAATGTCATCCGATTTTAGGTACTAATGAAAAGATACTACTTTTGAAATAAGTATGTACCTGGCACTTTTGAAACACTTCAAGGCAACATCCCAGTGCTGATCTTGTTCAAATAACAAAGAACCTTTCATATACGAAGCATAAGCCTGTGGGTTTAACACAAAATCGACAATCAATTATCTTTGTAAAGTTTAAGCAACCAAGATGAACCAAAGTTGTTGGTTCCAATTAACAGAAATGAAATTAATCATCAGATGAATTGAAACTATGAATATTTTCTACGAATCATCCAAGAGATGCTTTTAGAATTCCGAAAAATCAGTGAACGTCAAGGTCTCCCATGTCGTACCTATCAAGACGCGTTAGGGGAAGCTTTATTTAACTCATTTCTTCTTATAAATGAAAAATCAAAAGATATTCTAAAAACATATACTAAAGGGATATAACACCGCTATATCCTAATGTGAAGATTTTCAAGGAAGGTGGTGACCAAGTAGACCTCAGTGCAGCATTATTCTAAAAATTGATGAAAAAAAGAGACACTACTTCATTTAGCATACAACTGCGAAATTATTTGAACTACTTCAGAGCATTCATAGTTGAATAATCTTGAAAAAACTTCACTAGCATAGCATCATTTTAGCTCCAAGACTTCATTTAACTTTCATCGAGAGATCATGATTCAAAAAGAAAAAAGAAATTAAAAAAGAAAGAGTAACTGTTCTTCATTGTATGTTCTTTCACAGAAACTGTTTCACCACTTCTATAGCTTCTAAGAATGCTGAAACTTTTATGATATCACAAACTAAAGATATAACTAAAAGCGATAGATTCATTGACAAGCTATAATAAGTAAAATAATCCTACAGCACTAAACAAGCAAGGTAAAAATGTAAATGAATTAAATGATATAACAAGATCGTCTAAACATTAAAAATAAAGTGCCAAAACGTAATTCTATTAGCCATTAAAAAAACAATGATCGATACCTCTGCTTCAAGAGATGTTCTTGAATCTCCTTTGATGGAACACAGCTCTTGCAGAACAGAAGCCCATCTCACTGCCTTCCTCAACCTGCCAATGAGGTAGCTCCGCTGGCGTGCATTTGGACCATCAGGTAGTGTTTTCTTCTCCATGGCATGGCTCCATGCCCTTTCAGCAGTATATAGAACCACATGGAGAAACCTGAAGAAGATTCAGGGACATTCATCAATTAAAAGCAAAATTCCACATCCTGAGTACTCAAACTAAGACAACGGTGAACATGCACAACTCCATTATCCTTAAAACAAATTTAAAAGCATCTAGAAAGACAAGGGATTGAAGGAATGGCTGACGTAAAATGATGCATAATTCATTTTCCCCACACCAGTGCGTAAATGAAGAATTTGATAGCCACGTTTGTGAGTTAACTCGGCAGTAGACTCACAAAATTTCTTGTATAGATTATAGAACATTGATTTCGTTATAGGGTTGAAATTATGTGAAATAAAAAAAAACAAAAACTAAATGAGAACTACTTCACACATAGATTGGAATTGGCAAGGTGATTGATTTTCACAATTGCTTCAATATTGTTCAAAGAACAGAAGTACTGCATCAAAAAGAGTAACTAATCACATAATGGAAAGAATAACAAATATTAAAACAATCATCTAAATAACAATGACTGAGCCAAAAGAATAGGTTTGTTTTTGGGAATCAATTCATTAATAACAGTTGAATCATAACTCAAATGGAATTTCCATCTTAAGATAGACAAAGTAATGCTCGGATAGTTTCTTAGAATGCGAAAAGAAGCAAGGTCCCGAAAGTATGGAAAGCCCGTCAACTAATAAACACGAAACATTCAAATGCAGCAAAAACTACCTGACTTCAGTGACAGTATTTGCAGTAATGGCTCTCTTGGTATACTTTCCACGGCCATGTGTGAACTTCAGCGACTTGTACAGCCTTCTCAACCGTGCAGTGCAGTACCTCCTAGAAATTCGACGCGGACAAACTCCAAAGTCAGAATCATACTATTTCATAAATCATGAATGGCAAAAGTTAATACATTCTTACACTCTTCAACCCTAATCCACCCCCCATCCCATAAAAGACACTTCAATTTTTTTTAAAAAGAAACTTTAGATTTAGCATAAAACAATGTATACATTCATGCATATAAACGGAGACACTCCAACAGGAACAAAAACACAAAAATAGAACCGAATTATACCGGTAACGGGCATAATCACCAAAGCGCAATCCGTGCTGCATTTGAGCCGATTTCAGGAGCTGCAACACTGCAAATTCCGCCGCAAAAAGACTGTAAAAAAATCTATTGGATACGCAATTACAAACAAATTCATTCACAGAAAAAAGTACCGTTGACGGAGAATTTAGGGTTATTGATCTGATCAGATTCTGTGGAATTCTGTTCGTCGATTTCCATAGCGGCAACATCCTTCCCCTTCGCCATTAAAGGTGAGTTAAATTAGAGATCTAAAAAAAGCGACGGCGTATGGTCGAATCGAAAACCGAACGTTGGTGGCGGAATATTCCGGCCAGTTCTACAATGTGCCCGATTTGCCCACGGCGGCTGCTTTTGTAGTGAGACGAGAGACTCGGGTCGGGAAACGTCAATCTGATGTGGTTGGGCTTTTCAGCTTTCAACGGGTCGGATTGTTTGGGCCCGATTCACCACAAGGTCATGTTTGGGAATAAGTGAAAAATCGTTGGTTAACTTCTATAAATAAATAACTTCCTTTAAATAATATTTTTTTGGGTCCGCGCTAAAAACCAACTCGTTAAAATATATTTTGCTAATTTAATAGAATTTGGTTAGTTTCGACTGTATTAATTTATAACGATGTAACTATATAAATCCAAATTTAAAACGAGGTAATTATAACTGCAAGCAGTTTAGAGGAAGTTGAAAATTTGAAGCAACTTAGATTTCTTTAGGTAGTGGTGCTTAAGGTTTTGACCAAAAAAAATTGAATTTTTCAAATTTTTAGCATTTGTAAATATACTTTTCATTTTTGTTTTTCTTAAATTAGTCGTTTCTAGTCATAATAATCTAAGAAATGTATGTCTAACAATCTTTTTGGGCTTAGGGGATGTTTGGAGAAACATTTGTAAGAACTTAAGTTGTTAATTGTAACTGAAGCTATAAATATTTGTTTATTTTTAGAAGTTTTGGGTGTTTGAAAACGTCATTAAAAATCAATTCGCGTGTTCTTTTCGAAGTAATCGTGTATGTATTAATTTCTAATCATTGGCTCTGGTGGATTGAAGTGCACTGTTCCCGAGACGTAGGACTCTCATTGAGTCTGAACCTCGAAAAACTTTTTGTGTTGTTCATCTTCGTCATTTTTGTTGTGTGTATTTTGCTAAGCTTGTTGTGTGTGCAATATCATTGTCTCTGAGCTTGATTATCTATAGTATAACCACTATTAATTCATAACAAGTGGTCTTAGGTTAGTAATCATGTTTATAAAGAGGCGAATGGTGTTGTTGATAAATTAGCTAAACTGGATACGAGCACAAGGGGGTGAAAACGGTATTTAGCAGGTGAATTTCCTTGTCGGATTCGAGCCTCCATAATCCTAGACCGTGTCGGAATACCTCATTTTCGTAAATCAAAATTTAAATAAAGATGGTGTTAAAGAGTGGTAGCTGCTGGATAAGTGTGGTGATTATCACCAGATTCATTCAAGAGTGGGATCCTAGTGGAAGCATTCTTGTTTTTCGCATTAGTACCCCAATTTGGGGACCTTTAGATAATTTTCGTAAATTAGTTAGCTATTGGGCTCATAGTTTTAGGCTTTCCTCTTTTCGCCCCTCTTTGGGCCTTTTTGTAGTTAGAATAGTTAGGGGAGTCTCTGACTTTTTATTGCCATTGTAGGGGTGCTCTTTTTTCTTGTGTAGGCCCACAAGATTTTAACGAGGCCCCAAATATTTTTTAAATAATGAAATAATAAAGTCTTTTTGGCAAAAAAAAAAAAAATCATAAAGTGTTGCGGTGAGCGTGGATCGATTAGTGGTGATTACTTGATAAAAAACCATTGAAGAAAACTCAGATCTGCAATCAATTTGAAGTCAGTTGATTCATATTTGAATGAGATGAGTTTTTTTAAGTTTGAATTTCAGAAATTCAATGGGATAATGACTTCACACTCTAGAGAATTAAGACGAGACATCTAAAAAAAACATTATGATTTTACAAACACCTGAGAACTAAAAAAAGCTTAGAAGTTGTTTATAGAAACTTTGCAAACACCACTATTGTTGTGTCCAAAATGGGGAAACTACAGATAAATCCCTAATCCAAAACTTGAAACACAGATCAGTCCCTACGTAGTTTGCCCTAGCATTTCAGTCCCTACTCACACGCCTAACATGCAGATCAGTCCCTAATGTGAATTTTATATATTTTATTATATTTTCTTCTCACTCTCACCCTTTTCTCTCTCCTGCTTTTCTCTCTCCTGCTTTTCTCTCTCTTCATCTTCTCTTTCCTTCTTCTCTCTCTTCATTTCTATCTGCTTTCTTTCTTCTCTATTTCTTCTCCATTTCTCTCCTCTGGTTTCCCCTTTTTTCCGGCGAAAAAATCACTGTAAAACCCACCCACCCCACAATGGCTACAAATGATGTATCTAACGATGTACCCAGTGTGATTCTTGGAAGTTGTCGATACAAAAATCAACTTCACATTATTTCCATAAAAAGTAATTCGACATTAATGGAGATATATGGTGCTATTATCAACAAATGGAATCATATCCATCCAGATGCACTGATCCTCCAATACTTGGCTCCTCGGGAAAGATTGTATGTGACATTGGGCACTGATGAAGATGTGGAGAATATGGTTGCATTGCATCTGATAATGAAGATGAGTGTGGTCGACATTGTCGTGACCTGCAAAGATGAAGCTAATTCGCGTGGAAAGAGGGTTCGCACCGATGGCTGGTAGGTCTCCATCTTTTTCTGTACTGCTGAAATGCATTTCTTTATGGTTGTTAATTATTGTGTGATACATAGTATAAAATATGGCACATAATAGTATCATGCTAATATAAATATGGTATGGACGTATGATACTTACAGTACGTAACCTTGATCTGAGTAGTATGGGTGATAGGTAAATTTGGTACTGCTGGTGGGAAAACATAGTATCATATAATGAGGAAGATAGTACGTTACCTTCATCTGAATAGTATGGGTGATAGGTAAATTTGGTACTGTTAATGGGAAAACATAGTATCATATAATGGGGAAGATAGTACGTAACCTTCATCTGAATAGTATGGGTGATAGGTAAACTTGGTACTATTTGTGGGAAAACTTAGTATTATATAATGGATAAGATAGTATGGAACCAGTGCATTGTTATGATATTTTCATGTACATTGTTATTTGGATTCCACTCTATTGTAATCCATTTTTAAAATTTTTTTGAAACCAAAAGCGGCGATCAATCGATGGAAATCGAGGGTAATCCGCTTGGAAATTCAATTGATGCATGGAGACATTGCATCCGTGGGGAGAATCAGTTTTTTAAAGATCCTGATGATTTTAGGCATATGCTGAAAAACTATTCTATTGCTAATAATCGATCATTTAAGTACATGAAAAATGATCAACAAAAGATCATAGCAGTATGCATTCACGAAAACTGCAAATGGAGGGTTTATGCATCATTGTACAAGTCAGATAAGTTATTTAGCATTCGCAAGTGCAATCTTGAGCACACTTGTGGTGATGCTACTCTTCGTACAAGGGGTCATCCTAAAGCCGATGCTACATGGATTGCCCAAATTATGAAACGAAAATTGAGAACGCAGCCAGCTTACACACCATGTGGTATGTTAGAAGATATCCGAGACGATTATGGTCTGGAGCTTCAGTACTACACAGCATGGAGGGGTAAAGAAAAAGCAATGCGTGATATCCATGGTGATGAGACGACATGTTATGATAAACTGAGACGCTATTGTCGTGCATTAAAAATGCATAACCCTGGTAGCATGGCAGAGTATGAGATTGAACCTGCTACTCAAAAGTTTATTCGAATATTTATTAGTTTTGGGAGTTCTATTTCCGGCTTTTATCGGTGTAGGCCGATGATATGTTTGGATGGGACTCACATTAAAAATAAGTACAAAGGATGCTTGCTTTCTGCTGTGTGCAAGGATCCAAATGATTCCTTATATACATTGGCATACGCAGTTGTTGATGCTGAGAATGATAAAAACTGGGAGTGGTTTTGCATTAAACTGAAACAAATTCTAGATCTTCACAATGACAATAGATCTTTTACCATTTTCTCTGATCGTCATTCGGGGCTTCTTAAAGCCGTCCCGTTGGTATTTCCTAGTAGCCACCATGCATATTGTTTGCGACACTTGGTGGATAACTTTAGAACTCAGGTATTTTGTCACCTCATGTCATACTTTTGTATAACATGTTTCATACTTTTGTATAACATGTTTCATACATTTGTGTAACATGTGTCATACTTTTGTATAACACATTTCATACATTTGTATAGCATGTTTCATACATTTGTATAGCATGTTTCATACATTTGTATAACATGTTTCAAAATAATATAGGTCCTGAGGAAGTACCCATTGCACAACAAGTCATACTGGGCGAGTGTTTTACATAATGCTGCATATGCTCCTACTCGGCAGGAGTTCGATGCAACTATTTCTCGTATAGTGCAATCTATGCCTCTCGCGGCATCATTTATTTCGAATTCTGATCCAAATCATTGGGCGAATGCCTATTTTTCTGGAGAAAGATGGGGAATCGTGAACAATAATCAGGCAGAAAATTGGAATGGTTGGGTTAAAGATGCCCGATCTTTGCCTGTTCCATCCATGATTGATCACATACGGATCAAAGTAATGGAGATGCTAGTTAAACGACAAGGAAAAAGTTTGGCAATGACTGGCATATTGTGCAAGAAAATTCTAAAGAGATTAACAATCAATCATATGGCCTCTCGTTCCTTAAAATATTGTAGATCAAGTAGTACCGCTTTTGAGGTATATGATGAGGACAAGTCGTATAAGGTTGACTTGCAGCAGAAGACTTGTTCTTGTAAAGCATGGCAATTAGAGAAACTTCCATGCAAACATGCATGTGCATGTTTGGAGTCAAAAGGATACTCAGTATATGAGTTTGTGGATCCATGCTTTCATATTGATACGTACAAACAGGTATATCAATTCACGATTAACCCAATTCCCTCGTTTGATGAGGACTTTGACTTGTACGATGCGTGTAATGCTCCGCCCGATGTCTTTGTTAATGCACCTGATTCGAGAACTCGACCGGGACGTAGAAAGACAAAAAGAATTCCTTCACAAGTGCAAACTCGTAAACTGAATTGTACTCGGTGTGGGAAGCCTGGACACAATCGTCGTACTTGCACACAACCAATCTGACTACCAATTTTTTTTAATGTAAATACTGTCTGCATTTGTGTTAATTAAACTAACTAGTCTTGTTTCTAATGTAAATTTTATGTTTTTCATCAGGGAGGACAAGATGGAGGAGAGCTTACATGATTGCCCATTATGTTATTCAAGTGATTGAAGTGAATGAAAACTGGCTGTTTGTACTTTATTATTATGTGATTTGCACTATGTTGTTTTGAACTTTGTACTATGTTTCAATTTGCACTATGTTTTTGCTATTTGTAGTT